CTAGATAAACATACTCCCCTTAAACCTCTCCAGCTAGATAAACATACTCCCTTAAACCTCTCCAGCTAGATTAAACATACTCCCCTTAAACCTCTCCAGCTAGATAAACATACACCCCTTAAACCTCTCCGACTGTATTTAACTGAGAGTTCTATAAACTTTTCCAACTAGATTTAACTGAATAGCACAGTTCCATAAAACCGTTATGGATGCTACAACTGAATAGCACAGTTCCATAAAACCGTTATGACATGCTACAACTGAATAGCACAGTTCCATAAAACCGTTATGACATGCTACAACTGAATAGCACAGTTCCATAAACCGTTATGACATGCTACAACTGAATAGCACATTTTTATGTGTAATTTGATAATTTGTTAGAGACTTCAGTAACCAACACCTATATTTAAAGCAGATTTGGTTCCAACACAGTCGAGTAAGTAAAACACCTATCATCAAAATATACGTGGTTCTAACATCGAGTACATATTTCTATCATGATATATATTTTCCACTTTACGTTTAAAAACATATCTTGATATTTGCACAACAACAAACATCTCTTGGGTTAATTTATTGAGGATTGCTATCACACAATTGCTTAAAAGTTTTTCGTCCTCTGACGAACAAGACTTTTTTTGAAACTCTTCGCACAAAACTCTGTCAAAACTTTACCCAAATACACTAAACTGTTAAAACTCAATACCCAGTCACGAAACTCTATCAAATTTTTACCCAATTATACAAAACTGTTAAAACTCGATACTCAGTCACGAAAATCCATGAAAACTTTATCCAATTATACAAAACTGTTGAAACTCAATACCCAGTCACGAAACTCTATCAAATTTTACCCAAGTATCAAAACTGTTAAAACTCGATATCCAGTCACGAAACTCTATCAAATTTTACTCATGTATCAAAACTGTTAAAACTCAATATCCAGTCACGAAACTCTATCAAATTTTACCCAAGTATCAAAACTGTTAAAACTCGATATCCAGTCACGAAACTCTATCAAATTTTACTCAAGTATCAAAACTGTTAAAACTCAATATCCAGTCACGAAACTCTATCAAATTTTACTCAAGTATCAAAACTGTTAAAACTCAATATCCAGTCACGAAACTCTATCAAATTTTTACCCAAGTATACAAAACTGTTAAAACTCGATATCCAGTCACGAAACTCTATCAAATTTTACCCAAGTATACAAAACTGTTAAAACTCGATACCCAGTCACGAAACTCTATCAGATGTTTACCCAAGTATACAAAACTGTTAAAACTCGATATCCAGTCACGAAAATCTATAAAAATTTTATCCAATTATACAAAACTGTTGAAACTCAATGCCCAGTCACGAAACTCTGTCAAATTTTTACCCAAGTATACAAAACTGTTAAAACTCAATACCCATTCAAGAAACTCTATCAAATTTTTACCCAATTATACAAAACTGTTGAAACTCAATACCCAGTCACGAAACTCTGTCAAACTCTATTTAAACTCCAAATTCAACGAAACAGAAATCTAGAAATTCTGTATATACCGCAATACAAGGAACTCGGTTGCTCTTGTAAATAAATATTTTGAAGTTGAAGGGAGAGTTCCTCGGTTACGGAAGTTTAAAAGAAATTGAAAAATTGCTTTATCAAACTTTTATTGAATTCGGAACATTTATGAGTAAGTTTTAATTTACAAATATGAAACCTAACTCCCAGTAGAAAAAAAAAAAATCCTGAAGCTTTCAAACTCACAAAGTTTACCAATCACAAAGGTCTTTAGCTGAGATAATGCGAATTCTTCAGAA